TTGCCAGGCTTTGCTGTGATACTCAGCGTTTGCTGGATACTCTTGGTAGCTTGCCAGACTCTCCGAGAGGGGTGGAGGAATGGAACCTTGGGCGGGCCAGGTCAGCCGCGTGCAAGGCAAACGCCCTAACTGCTGTGCTATTGCTCCAAATTGGGAATGGGTTATAAATATGGATCTTCCTGACCTGTGAATAAGTCTATGTTGGTCGTGACTAACTGTATAAAAATTTTTTTGTAAAAGAATCTGTGTAAGTCTGTTTTATTTGCCATATTTTCCATTTACAAATCCTCTGACAAAAGGGAAACGTATTCTAAGGTCACAAAAATCTCCATTTGCTAAAGTTGCCCTGAATGTACCCCTGTTCTGCCCTTGATCTCTGGTGACTCTCCCTCTCCTAGTTAGAATTACATTTAAAACCTCAGCTAGCATTTTATTTAAAACTACAAATCAGGGCATCCCATTTTTTAAAAACCCTTCAGTCAATTCCAATTCCTAGAGTAATAATGTTGCTCATACAAGTTTTGAACCCTATATGAACTAGCCTTTCTATTTCTCTCTTGCTGTCTTAGACAAAACAAAACAAAAACCCAACTCACTATGGTTCCACTTTGCTGTCTTTTGAACCTTTAGTAGATAAATTCTGTGTCAGTCCATGACCTTCCCAGACCAAGTTACTACTTATGGACCATCCTAATACTACTTCACAATTTATTCTTACAACCACTAACCACTGTTTTCTCCCTTTGAGAAAATTATTTTCTCTTTTAGCAATTTTCACAATTTGAATGCTTCATGTTGATTTTTCTCTATCCATGTGATATTCTATTTACAACTATACAGCAAACAATATCCAGTTTATATAAAATAAGTAATAACAGAGACAGGAGATAGTACAGTGGGTAGGATGCTTGTCTTGCATGTGGCCAACCCGGGGTTTAATTCCTGGCATCCCATAATTCCCTGAGCACCACCAGGAGTCACTCCTGAGTACAGAGTCAGTAGTGACCCCTGAGCATCACCAGGTGTTCCCACCTCTTCCCCCCCAAAATAAGTAGAAACATTTCTTACCAAACTTCTAGCTCCATACATATCATATGAATATTGAATGAATTTTAAGATATAGGAAATATGGGATATTGGTAAGCATTATATAAAAAGTTGAATTATAAGCCGAAGGAAAAGCAAAATATTGTCTTACAAATGTGATGTTGAGAGTTCGATCCTTGGTTCTGCCCACAAGTACAAAGTGTGGTGCCAATGATGCTGCATTAAAATAGAGGATGTGTGATTTCTGAAGCATCAAATCCATACATAGGCAAGCACCACAACTGAAAAAATATGTAGCCTAAGTGAACACTATAATTAGAAAAAATAGCACATGAGCACCATGGCCAAGAGTATGACCCTAGGCAAGCACATGTGCAAGCACAACTAAAGTGTATGACACCTCTTCCCCTATGAGCACTATGGGCAAGCACAGAAGTACTAGCAGATGTATAATCTCCAGGTGAGCAGTACATCTAAATGTGCAAGCCCCACAACCAACCGTGAGTATAACCTTGGAAACTGTGATGACAAATGGAAAGGAGGGAGGATTATGTTGGTTAAACTTCAGAGGTAATGCAGTGTTAATTTATTTATTTTTAAAAAGAGGAATTAGGAGAGAGGGACTAGGGACATCTGAGAGGAAAGCATCTATTCAGCAAGTAATGATCAGACTACAGTGTAAAACTTTATAAATGGGAGGTTGAAACCATTGTGAATCATGGTATTTAAATTCACGAGCTTCCATTTCCATGTGATGCCTTTTCTGTTCAGTACCCTGTTTTATGTCCGAGCTCTCTGCTGTGTCATCACAGCTCTCACTAATGGGAGGAGTTAGGGAATACAATCCATATAATTCTCTAGAATATTTCACTGCCATGCCCAGAAGTGCAAGTTGGCAGAAACAGGCACCAACGCAAATCTAACTTTGTTTGGGGCCCACATCCAGCAGTGCTCAGGGTTTACTCCTGGCTCTACACTCAGGAATCGCTCCTAGCAGTTTTGAGGAACCAAGTGGGGTTCTGGGGATCAAACTTAGGTTGGTCATGTGCAAAGCAAATGCCTACCCACTCTACTATCACTTGACCTCCAATGCAAATCTATTTTATACACAAGGAAGACAGTGAGGTTACAAACAAAATTATACAACTACTCAGTGACAAAGTCAGGAGTTTACTTCAGGTTTATCTAACTCCAAAGTCTCTTTCAAATCACCACGATCATAACACTCACAAAAATATCATGCTGTAAAATTCACTTACTCAATATTCTTGGAGATGAGTCATTCCTGACAGAGAGTAAGTGAAAGGCCATCGTCTAGGAAATATTTTTCAAAACCTTTCAAGTATAGAGCAGGGAAGACTCCAGATATCTCTGGGGAAGAGGTTTTTCTTTTCTGCCGTGGACTTCAAGCATTTGAAAACAGAAGTGGAGAACTGACATGTTCGTCCTGAAAGCTTCAGCAGATGGCTAATGATCCCCTTTTCTTTTTTGCTCCTAAGCAAAAATGAGAAAATTCAGAAATAGGTTTAGTCAATAATAAGGGAGAAAAAAGTGAAAAATGTTCATAGGAAATATTTCCCAGAAGGGAAACAGTTGTATTTGCAAAGCACAACTTCTATATACACACTCACACACATTTTCTCTATTGGTGTTATTGTTGTGATAATTGGAGGTCAAACACATGCTTGGTTGTGGGGCTTGCCAGGGATTGTACTGTTTAGTTGTGGCCAATTTCTGATTCCATATTGGTACTCACCCAATTCCATGACTCTCCAGGCCTATTTCTACATCATTACCCAGCATATTACTTTCTCCTGGCCAGCTGGATTTTTGTCTTTAGTCCCAGAAATGGGTATAATGATATTTCCTACTCATCCATATGTAACCTCCCTGAATTTGTTTACTGTTCTGTATAAAAGAGGGAAAGTAAAAATATCTAACTCAAAGATTAAACAGGGAAATCATGTAGGCATACAGTATTCAATATGCACTCATATTACTTTTCTTCTTTTCCTTCCCATCTCTGCACAAGTGATTAATAATGAGCAACAAATGAAGCTACAATAACTTTTTTTTTTCTTTTTTGCATCACACCCAGCGATGCGCAGGGGTTACTCCTGGCTCTGCACTCAAGAATTACCCCGGCAAGGCTTGGGGAACCATATGGGATGCCGGGGATTGAACCTGGGTCAGCTGTGTGCAAGACAAACTCCTTACCCGCTGTATCATCATTCTGGCCCCCACAATGACCAATTTTACCTAATGAAGATACTAAAGCATCAAGAGGACAAACAAATTGTCCAGGTTAAAATCTGACTTGGGATGGAGAGATAGCTCCATGGACGAAGCTTTGCATTCAGTAGGCCAAGTTTGATCCCTGGCACATGGCCCCCCCAAACACCACCTGGAGTGATGACCCCCAAGCTCGGAGCTGAGAGAGCCCCTGAGTATGACCCAGAAAAAAAGAAAGAAAAGGCTAGTACTCAAAATCTATTAGTCATTCAACTCCAAGCCTTCTAAGCACCATCCTATACAATCTACACAACTGTTGTGTTGCAAGTTTGTTCTCCAGACCTACATTGACCCTTCAGTTTGTCTTTCTGGACAGTTTCCATCTCCATCATGACCTATAACTTAATACTAAAGAGACAATTGAAGGAAAAAGTCTGTTCGTGTACCCTGTCATATAGAGATGACAGTTATGATCAAAGATGTGATTACTTTAAAATCCTCAGTACAGGGTCTGGAGAGATAGTACAGCGGGTAGGGCGTTTGCCTTGCACGCAGCCCACCCGGGTTTGATTCCCAGCATCCCATATGGTCCCCTGAGCACCGCCAGGAATAATTCCTGAGTGCAGAGCCAGGAGTAACCCCTGTGCATTGCCAGGTGTGACCCCAAAAAGCAAAAAAAAAAAAAAATCCTCAGTACAGGAGCTGGAAGGATAGCACAGCAGGCAGGGCATTTGCCTTGCACGCGGCCGACCCGGGTTCGATTCCCAGCAACTCATATATGGTCACCTGAGCACCGCCAGGAGTAATTCCTGAGTGCAGAGCCAGGAGTAACCCCTGTGCAATGCCGGGTATGACCTAAAAAAGAAAAAAAAATCCTCAGTAAAGTTTGAGGATTAGTTTTTATCCTCCAAATATTTAATCTTCCCCTGGGCCGGAGGGCTAGCACAGCGGGTAGGGCATTTGCCTTGCATGCGGCTGATCTGGGTTCGATTCCTTTGCCCCTCTCGGAGAGCCTGGAAAGCTACTGAGAGTATTCTGTGACGGCAAAGCCTGGCAAGTTACCCATGACGTATTTGATATGCCAAAAACACTAATAATAGATCTCACAATGGAGATGTTACTGGTGCCTGCTAGAGCAAATTGATGAACAATGGGAGGACAGTGCTACAAAGCATTTACTCTTCCCCAAAGTAATTTAAATGCACAAGTATAGGGGGCTGGAGTGATAGCATAGCGGTTAGGGTGCTTGCCTTGCACATGGCCGACCCAGGTTCGATTCCCAGCATTCCATATGGTCACCTGAGCACTGCCAGGAGTGATTCCTGAGTGCATGAGCCAGGAGTAACCCCTATGCATCACGAGGTATGACCCAAAAAAGAAAAAAAAAAGTATAAGTATAGATTCATTTTTGGAAAAAATATTACCAAGCATAACTTTGGAAAGACTGCATGTAGGAGGGGTTTTTGTTATTGTTCTTGCTATTTATCATACTGTTTAACTGCATTAAAATAAAATGTAAATAGTGATGATTTCCAAATTACCACAAGGACAGTGATTAAGAACACAGAGTCAAGAGCAGATATGGGTTGAATTTCAGTAGAGTCACTTTATTATATGTTTGAATTTTATTTATGTATCCCACTATATAATGATATCTATCACATAGGGATCTATATTATATATAATTCATATATAAATTATATGTATATAAAATTTTTGTTTTGCTTAGCTTTGTTTTGGACCACACCTAGAGGTACTCAGGGCTTGTTTCTGGCTCTGCCTGGGGAGCAATACAGGGAGCCCAGGATTGAACCTAGATTGGTCACATGCAAAGCAAGCACCTTACCCCCAATATCACATAGGGATATTTTTAAGCTAATGTAAGTAGTATGGTAAAGGTGTTGGGTATGGTACCAGATTCATTATAAGTACTTATTTTTTCTTTTTATACTATCAATATGAGATATCTCAATATCTTCATAATATCACTGAAGAGAATATCACTCATGGCTGTGCAATGTATGATTCAAGTAAGCTGTCCCACAATGTTCAACACTGTATTGTTTATATGTTATCTATAATAAATATTTCTATGTATTCCTGGCTATTTCTTTAAGGTGAAATCCTATATATAAAATTTTGTATATAAAAGGATAACAACACTGTAAACAGATGGCATTATCAAATTATTTATCGATTAACAGTTTTAATAAGCTAAATCAAAATCAAAGGTATTTATTCACTTATTGTCAATAACGAGCATTTTAAAAAAAATATGTTAATATTACAATTCCTAATCCCAACCTCATGTTGTAATTTTACCTATTTATTAGCTGTTTCAATGTCTTATTAAGTCTCATTACAAAGATAGGTTCCAAAACTTAAAGAATGAGATAGGCAGAAAAATAAAAAATAATTGGAATATATAAACAAGTAGCGTATTACAGACATGATATTTCAAAACATTTATGAGATCATTCATGAGAGGATGACTCTTTCCATTGGCTCTCAAAATATTCCCTCACGCCTTCCCTGGGAAGAGTGACCAGAGAGGTCAAGGAGCACTGGCAGGTTGGAGTAACTCTTATCCTTCCGTATTTCAACCATATTTATATGCCTTCCATATTGAACTTAATTGATAAGTTGATCTGAAGGATTCTATACCTAAAACAAAACAAAAACAAAACACAATTTATTGCAAGATTTTGAAGCAACTGGTATTTTTCAATATTATAAAATAGCACTGTAGCACTGTCCTCCCGTTGTCCATCGATGTGCTCGAGTGGGCACTAATAACGTCTTCATTGTGAGACTTGTTACTGTTTTTGGCATATTGAATACGTTATGTGTAGCTTGCCAGGCTTTGCTGTGCGGGCGGAATACTATAAAACCCAACAAATAAATGAAATTTGGCCCTTACATAAGATGTACAGAAATATGTATCAGATTAAATTTGTGGCCAAAGCAATGCTCAGCAGGTCTGGGGATCCACTGGATTCTTGACCAACCAGGTGGACAATTCCAATGCAAGGGCTGGAGGAAACTACTTATCCTTTGGTTCCAAGGACAGCCAGGCCAGCGGGCGCAGTGCTATGGGGCTTTTAGTGGCACACAGTAGTGTTGACGGGGCTCTTAAGACTGCACCCATCAGTACTTGGGGCACATGGGATTCTGGGAGTCAAACCACTGTACTACATCCTGATCTTGGACTAAATAGTAAATGGGAAAAAACCCTCCATAAATGATCAGAAAATACAGAGGAGAGTTAACTTCTTTTCAAGCATATTGGCAGCACTATTGAGCGAGGCACAATGAGAGGGACTATTTATCTGTATTGGTTTTTTCTCAAGTGTATGTCACAGATTGAAAATGATTTTACACCATTTACCGAGTGGAAATGCTATAATCAAAGTGCCAGCAGTGTTAGTGGTTTAGGGCATTAACACACCCAGTATCTCTATTAGCATCCCCTTGGCAAAACATTATGCAAAACAATGCAACTGAAGGAACATGTCTGAGTACCTTGTGTTGCTAGTGACTTGACACTAAACCCATCCTCTCTGGAACCATCACGACTGCTTTCTGGAAAGAGGTACAGTGTCGTCAGTATAGAAAGGTTCCGAGAAATCCTACAGGAGGGGGAAATGAAGTTTATTCTCATTACTTCCTAATCTCAACTATAGAATTGGCAGAAAAATTTAAAAAAAAAACTGGAAAATGTAAACAATTAAGTAACATACTATAAACATGGTATCTCGAATCATTTATGAGATCATGATAGGATGACTCTTTACATTGTTGGACTTCAAAATATTTCCTCAAGCCTTCCCTGAGGAGATGCAGAGAAAGCAATATAATCATATGTAAGATAAAGAATGCTATTTCTATCAGAGACTGGGGACATAGTTCAAAAGGTTGAAGTACATGCCTGGCACATACAGGGCCCCAGGTTCAGTCCTGTAAGACCTCCTTATTTTATTGGGAGTAGGGGTGGGGTTGGGCTATACACAGCAATGCTCTGGGGTCACTTCTAATTCTGCATTCAGGAATCACTTCTGGAGATGCTTTGGGAGACCACTTGGGATGCTGAAGATCGAATCTGGGTCTGCCACATGCAAGGAAAGTGCACGACCCACTGCATTATCCTTACAGCCCCAAACTTTTGTTTGTTTTTGTTTTTGTGCCACACCTGGTGGGCTCAGGGGTTATTCAAGGTGGTGCTTGGGGGATGGGATGGTAAGAATCGAACCTGGGTTGGCCCTTTATGGCAAAAGCCCTACCCATTGCTCTATAGCTCTGACCTAAGGCCTCCTTAGTATCATCAGATATAACCTTGGTGGCAGGAATGCTGGAGAGGCCCAAACAAAGAAATTAAGTTTCCATTTCCTGCAGTTACTTGACTCCAAAACACAGTTGGGCATTCACTTGAATTTGGTCTTTGTTTTGTTTCTTAGGGGCCACAACCTGTGGTGTTCATGATGTTAGCTTGACTCTGCTTTTAAGGATCACTCCTGGTAGGGCTCCAGGGATCTTATGTGCTATGGGAAAGGGGGGTGGGGGTTACAGTATTGCTGCAAGCATCCTACTGGCAGTACCATCGCTCTGGCCTCTGTACTTTGTGTGTACTTTATGTTACTTTGAGGATCTGTGCTGTCCATTGCCATTGGTAACATGAGACCACTTGAACAGTTCCTCTGCTGCACTAGCCATGTTTTAAGTGCCTACCAGTCAGCCATACGTGGCTAGTGACTCCAGTACTAAACTGGACAGGCATAAAACTCTATTATTGAGGATGTTTCAATTGCACAGCACTGACATGACACCCCAGTGTGGTGTGATCACTACATACAGGTAGGTCAACAGCCTGAAAACTGGGTAAGTGGTATGTCTTAACACCTAGCTTTATGTTTTTCTCTGTCTTGTTACCTTATCACCAATAAAGTCCATGACCTGGTCAGGGCATTAAAGCATGAAGAGCTCTCACAGTGATAGCAGTGTAATGGCCATAATGACTATAGATTTGTTTGATACATAGAAATTCTGGGTTGGTTAAGTGGTAGAATACATGCCTTGCATGAGAGAGGTCTAGCATTTGAGCTCTAGAACTGCAAAGAAAAAATTTCTTTTCCTCTGTTACTAAGTTTGAAGGATATTCTATTTTTATTAAAAAATAAATATTGTACTTATAACTCACAAGTCACAATTTTTTGGGGGGAGTCACACCCAGTAATGCTCAGGGGTTACTCCTGTCTCTGCACTCCAGAATTACTCCTGGAGGTGCTTGGGCAACCATATGGGATGCTGGGAATTGAACCGGGTTGGCTTCTTGCAATGCAAACTCCCTACCCACTGTGCTATCGCTCCAGCCCACGTCACGGTAAAGTTAAACTTCAAATTTTTCATCTTACTAATCTATCAAGATTTGATTTATTTAATGAAGGGGGAAGATTTTGACAACTCTAGTAAGCAAATGAATATTCTTTATATTGCAATGAGATACTAAGTTACTTAACCTCTCTAGTACCTATTCTATGAAATATTAACTATAATGGTAGCTGCTCATAAATAGGACATAAGAGTTAAATAAAACAATAGGTGCTCAATGATGCTGACCCAGAATGGCTTCTTCTTTTTTAAAAAAAATCTCTTTTTCAGTGCTGGGGATGAATCCTTGGGCCTTATGCCAGCAAAGCAAATACTCTTGTTTAGCTACATTTCTGACTTCCCAATTTGGGTTAGCTGGGGATGGGAGGGATCCTGAACAGCAGATCAAAATGCTAACAGAAACATATTCTGTCTGACATGAACTTTCATTTTTAAAAATTAATTCATTTTCAATTTTGGGGTCACACCAGGAGATGCTCAAGGTTGACTCCTGACTCTGCACTCAGGAATTATTCCTGGTGGTTCTTGAGGTATCATATGGGATGCCAGGCATTGAACTGGGTCAGATGTGTGCAAGGCATCACACATTACCCACTGTGCTATCACTTCAGCCTTTGTTTTCTTTTAAAGTTTTCTATATATTCTAGATCAAGTATTCTCTTTGTATTTAAAACAGAAAGAAAATCTTGGCTTTGAGTCCTTTCCAAAAGTGATCTAGAGTTTGGTAAGCAGTGATTCTTCAAAGAGTGATCCTTGGATCAGCAGGATCAGCAATACAAGAGAGCTTGCTAGAAAAGCAAAGATCACAGGCTCCACCCAATACACTAAATCTGGGATGAACTCCGGCAACGGTCATTAGCCTTCCGTTTTTTTTTTTTTTTTTTAAAAGCCTTCCGTTTGATTCTTCTTTCTTTTGGTAGCTGAGGGAAGGGAGGTGCTGGCTCCCTAGCAGTGACCAGGCTGGTATTTTCAATATTTGGACCAAAGATAGGAAATGTTCAGAGTGGCCAGGGCTATGCCCACCATTCACTGGGGTTCCCTTTGATTCTAATGCTCCTTAAAGTTGAAAAACAAGGTACCTCTATATCTTTTCCACAATTTATAGTCATGCTATTTAACAACAGAAACATTCTGAGAACTGCATTACCGGTAATTTCTTTGTTGTATAAAAGTGACAAATGCAGGTAGATAGATGGGGTGCAGTCTAACATAGATGGTATAGTTTACCTCTGTAGACCCCTGTCATGTATGTTGATGGTAACAGCTATTCAGTACATAAATATAGATAATTATAAACTGTCTATTCCCCTTCTAATAGGCTCTGCAATTCTTGTTCAAAGTCCTCTTTTCACATATCTTCTCCATGAGTCTTTGATAACAGCTCCACTCTGTGTCCAGTTAGTGCTCAGTGTAGAAAATGTGAATGTTTTCTAGAGCCAGGCAGGTAACTTGCTTCAAGGGGGCCTAATGCATGATCTTAAAAAGTGAAGTGCTGCTCCTATACACAAATATCCAATTTAAACAAAAGAAAAGAAAGCTAAACTGTTGCTAGTCAAACAAAATACATTTAAGCTAACTCTGAACACCACCTTTTTCACACTCACTTCTTAGCTATCTCTGAAATCACCAACCAGTTGTCCTGTGTTAAGGGTGAATGCTGAACACAGTTGAAAAAAAACTATTAGAATGATTACTTAAGTGGGTTACCAGTAGAGGAATGGAGAGAGCAGTATGCCCTTACATGAAATTCCGCCCTTGGGAGGATCTCCTAGAGAAATCAAGAGTGCTAAAGCCCCTAGATGGAATTCCGTCTTTGGGTGGATCTCCTAGAATTTTCCCTGAAGAGGGGCTTTACTAAAATCTGTTCATTACTTACATTAACGTTCAGCCATACTTAGGTGTAACTGCTGCCTACCCAGCCCTTCATGATTTCTCTACAATAATGTTGACAGATTTGAATAAGGCGTCACTGATTAAAAAAAAAAATTAGAAGCCCAGGTCTGCTACATACTAGTTTGGTAGTAAAACAAATGATGATATTAATGTCTGGAGTTAAATCTTTATATGAAAACAATATAACCCACCTATCTCAAAAAAATTTAGGGGACACAAGGCCTGGGGGTACGATCAAACCCAAAGTAAAAGGTAAAGGTAAAGGCCCTCCCGTTGATCGTCGATTTGCTCGAGCGGGCCCAGTAACGTCTCCATTGGAGACTTTGTTGTTACTGTGTTTGGCATATCGAATACTCTCGGTAGCTTGCCGGGCTCTCCGAGTATTTAAAAAAAAATATTTAGACACTGTGGTTTAGAGTCGTTCATAACACAATTGTTAAGGGCAATCAATGTTCCAACACCAATCGCACCACTAAAATTACCTTCCTCTACCACTGTTCTTATTTTCACAACCACTCACAAGCTGTCTCGTTAGCAGGCACACAGTAATTTCTTTATATTGCTTTCTATAACTAAATGGTTAATGCAATTACCAAAAATACCTCAGTAAAGAAGATCTGTGAAAATTGTTATATCTTTATGATGTCGTTAAGTCCTTGTCTGAGGATTTTCTAAGTTGTTTGCAGCTAGTTGAGTCTTGTGTTCTATTGTTTTTGTTTGTTTAGTCTGTGTTACTTTCCCCTCTGCTACGGTGTGCTCTACCTGAGATGTCAGTATGTGGAATTTGGAAGTGTTGCGCAGCCACGTACACACCCACACCCCACAGCAACACATAAATTCTAGTACTAAGCTACATCTCTGGCCACTCTCACAGGATTATTTTGGGGGGGGTGCGGGGGTTTGGGCCACACCTAATGATGCTCAGGGTTACTTCTGGCTCTGCGCTTAGGAATAAATCACTTCTGGCATACCACACGGAATGCAGGAGATATGGGATGCAGGGAATATGGGATGCAGTGGATTGAACCTGTGTCAACTATGTGCAAGGCAAACATCTTACCTACTGTACCATCTCTTCAGCCCCATAGGATTGTTTTAAAGATTAATATACTTAAAATAGCCATCCCAGTTAGAAATAAAGAACAAGGCTTAAGGAACATGCCTACTATGTGGCAGATCCCCATTCGATTCCTGGCACTGAATATAGTCCCTCAAGCACCACCAGAATAATCTTTGAAGGACTGGAACAATAGTGCGGTGGGCAGAGTGCTTACCTTGCACACGGCAACCCAGATTCAATCCCTGACACTCCATATGATCCCCTGAGCACTGCCAGAATGAGGAGTAAGCC